CTTTGATTTATTAAAAATAGTTGTTTCTAGGTACTGTTTTAATAATATCACCGATTTACCACATCTACCCGAGTAACTAATGGCAACCACTTAAAAAAAAAAAAATGTATTTCTACTGTAAATCTCCAAATCCTGGTTTGAGGGCTTTTTTTTTAAATTTAAATTTTGGAAAATCCTTTCTTAGTGGCTCTTTACATCATAAAACGAAACTACTGACCAAATGTCATACTCATAGCTTCGGTGATTCAGGCTAGGCGATGATTAATCAGGACAAGTTCTTTTATATTTATAGATTTATTTAGAGGTTATAATATGTTTTAGTCATAATATTAAAGTCAATTTAGATTTTTAAAAAAAAAAATCGGTATCTAATATTAAAACACTTGGATCAAAAATTTTTATATAATATAAAAACCCAAACCATTGTAAATCATTTATAAAAAAATTACAATCATAATTAAGTTAGTTACTTTACAATATCTATGTACGAATATAATATTTTTATCTCCTATAAAATGTTGCGTACATTATAACTCAATTTTATATTTTATACAAACAATTTTTTCAATGTTATGATGGAATTAAATTCAAAACATTATAATTTAATATTAGGTAGGTAGTCTATAATACTTTTATAAATTATTATTTAATTTATTTAGGCAAACAAATGTACGTATAATATTATAATAAACATTAAAGTAATTGAATTTGATAATTTGTTTAAATACATATTTATAGATAAACGAACTTTCGGAACTTATACCTATATATTAGGTATATGTATGTATTATAATTTAAAATACTTAAAAATAACGATTAAATCTATAGAAAGATAATAATGTGAGATAAGTACAAAGAACGAATAATATGACGTTAATAATCATAACTAAACAGAATTCTAAAATAAATGTCTAGTTTAAAAGTTTATTTTTATTTACGAATAGAAATAGAGTTTTTTGCAAAAGAATTTATTGACAGTTTCAGCGTGTTTTATTAAAAAAAAAAATAAATAAATAAAAAGTTTGTTACAAGATTTACGGCCATAACAATTGTATTTTATGTATAGCAAAAACTTGATTTTTAACAGCATATTGTAACTTGTTATGTTTATTCAACCTTTATACATAATGATGGAATAATTTTTAACGTTATATTGATTTACTGAATATAATAAAATAAATAATGTTTAAACAATACTGTAATATATTATAATATTATAACCAAACAATATTTGGTATGAAATATAAATTTGATTTTATAACCTATTGATGGCATTATTGGTCACAGTTTATTAGTTATAAGTCATACAACATAATATATTAATATATATATACCTATTATATATGTAGGTATGTATATTATAACTTAAAGTGTATTCCTAAAATGTTAATAATAAATTTGCATCATATTATATAGTAGGATGGGCTTTAAATTCAATTGCACTACAGCTTTAAAAATAGATACCTACATTTATTGATTTATCAATGGATGATCATAATAATTAGTCACAATTTATCAGCTATACCTTAGAAGTCATATCACATACCTATATAATACTAATATATTATATATGTTTATCATAGTTTATCATAGTGTACATATGCCTAAAATTTTAATTATAATTTACATCATATATTATCTCATTTATCAAAGAAATTAGTAGGTATGTGTTTAGTGTATAATATTATGTACACACCATTACTAAAAGCTATGTATATCCGAGTGTTAGGATTCAAAAATATAATTCCACACCGTATAAATTTGATTCAGACACATAATGTTAAATAATGGATATTTTTCGCATTATATCAGTCAACCCCATCTAGGATGTTGTGTTTTTGCTTTATGGTATAATCGATTACAATATAATTTATTGGTACTGTTTTTAAAGTTCTCTTGGTTATGAGAATATAAAAATAAAAAAATTTAAAATGATTGTACTTTAAACAACACATGTAAGCAATGCAATTTATATACGAGCAATTCAATATAATATACACTATATGTATAATATTAAATATACGTTGATATAATAATTTATTAAGTATCTTCGAAGACTAAAAATTGACACTGTTGTAATATTGATTTATAAGAAAAAATGATATTTCTGAAATATAATATATATCTACAGAAGCCATCAAAATAACTAAATTTTAGTTTATAAAATTAACTGAACAACTTTTTCACAACTGCCAATTAATATTTAATTTATTTTGTGTAATTTAACCCGATTCTTCGAGGAAAAAATTGTTTTCTATATTTGTATCTATAACCACGATGTCCGAGTTCAATATTTAACTTTTCTACTATTGACATCGGATTTTATTTTATAAATAAACATACATGAACGGTGGTTTTGTATCTTTAACCGATTCAAGAAATACCTGTTTATTATTGTTAATTAATTATGATAATTTTATCAAAGAGAAGTACCTATGTATTGTGCCATTGCATTTCCGCGGTAGACACAATAAACTATCAATATAATTTTTATTTCTTTTTTTTTTATTGATCTCAAATACAACTCGGCAGCAAATGCCATTAGTTGAATATAATTTATCTCGCTCGGGTAGGTACATACTTTACATATTATTATCAACGAAATGCCTTTATGAATTTATGCATTTTTAAATAGAACATAATATTATAAAATATATTGATGAACACATTATATAGGTAGCGCAAGATAATAATAATTATGCTTATCGATATTAGCAAATTAATTCCTTATAGATATTCGTAAAAACATTATGATCCTAAAAACCTTATGTTCATATAGTTTCACATATTGATTTCGGGTGTGTGTACGTAATCGTTTTATTTTTCCTAAGATGGTGCATCGTCTCTCCTCTGTTGTGGCGGCAATGGTTTTTCTTCAGCGTTCCGTAATCGTGCCAGTTTTGTGTTGTGTTGTTGTGTGCTACGACATAATATATAGACTTATGGTAGGTTCACCAAGTAAAAAATAATCTCGAGACCACGTGAAATAAGGTGAACTTGCGGTCTGCTGAGATTATTATCAAACCCATACATTATAGACGTCTCGACACCAACGATTCTCCTTCCGTATATCAATATATAGGTACAACAGCCGTATGCTGCAGACAACCAGGCGGCTTGATCTGTCTGGGGGTGATTGATAAATGTAAATGACTCATAAATTAGGTTGTGGCAAATGTGTATATGACGGTGAGAGTACGTGTGTGTGTGTGTGTGTGTGTGTGTGTGTGTGTGTGTGTGTGTAATAAGAGTAGATAACGATAATGCACATACCACGATACCGTTTGATGATTATAAATAATAGGTATAAATGAAAAAAAATTTATTTTCGATATGAAATTGTTCATCACTGGGACATGCATTTCTACAATTGAATGCTTTCAATTGTTTCGACTTTCGTTTGGCTTTTCTTATAATACGCCCTCAGCCTTATATCGCTTCAAAATTTGATCAATGTTCAAGAATTTTGAAATTCGTTTAATATATATTAATACTATACTATATAGTACATATTTTATATATATAGATAGTTTTAGTCCCAAGTCAACCCCAATAATATGGAGTGAATTTCTTCACTAATATAATAGCAATCCTAATATTTATTTTTTTTTAAATGTTTAAATTTAAAAACAGCAGGTTTACCAAACTTGTTTAAATAGCTGATTTTTTACAGTACGATTTGAGTATAAGATAATACTTTCAATTTATAAAATATTTTTTATCATACATAACTTAAAGTGTCCTAAGAATAATGTGATACCTACCACTTTTGATTGTTGTAACAATAAAATTCTTTGTTTTTATCTTAGATTTTTTTATCGTATATTATAATTGAAACCGTAAAATACTTTTTTTTTCAATATAAGTTAAGTATTTGACTTAAGCCATACAAGGTATCCACTTATCTATTAAAGCATATAAAACAATTTGATTATTATATTAAATATATTATACATGGTATTATAATTTTTATCATTCAATTTTTTTTTAGTTAGAATTTAATATTTATTAGAACTTAAAAATAAAATTAAGTTCCATTAATATTGTATCCCAGACAAAATGTAAACAGATAAATTACCTCTCAAAAGACTTTAAAACGCCAAATCGACTCATTGTCAAACTTAGGTAGTTTTATGTTCTCGCATAGTTTATTTTAGTAATGTATTAAAACTTACACCCCATTAAAAATGTAATAGGAACTTAATCTTTTATACTAACACCATTATGCTGTATAGAATAACACTTTTTAGATTACAAATAATTATAAAATACCTTAAAATTTATAAAATTTAAAAACTGGTAAATTGTTGTTGTTGCACATGTATTGTACATATATATATTATAAAGGAATAAATAACCTACATTTTTCGAACAAATATACTTTAATATTTGCAATTTTAAATTATGTTTCTAATCTATTAACGTTTGTTGTGTATTTTATTTGTTATGCAGTTGCCAATTATGAATCATAATAAAGTGTTTTTATTTGTTGCATAAGACACGACTATATTAATAGATATTAATTAATCAATTTAAAAAATACATATTCTTAAGGAAAATTAATTCAGATAAAAATAACAATGATTTTATAGTTAAATGTTTTATTTATATAAAAAAAATATAAATATTCAACGTTTTGTATTTTGGTATTACAAATTTTGTTTGTTGCGGTACAATAATTACTAATACAGTAATAATAATACTATGATTCAAGTGATTGGACGAGCGAAATCGATTTAACAAGAATGAATAACACCCGGGGAATTAGGAGTGACACTCATAAAATATGTAATTAGGTAGGTACCTATACATAACATTAAGTGATCCACAATCAGCAATCGTAAACGAATACACCAGGAAACGGAATGCAAGTCATATATTACAATATTGTATAGGCTGAACTAATAACATATTGTTCACTTCACCAGTACTTAAAACTTCGACCGTCGACCACAACAACTCTACATAGACTTAGCTTATAAACGAAGAAACTCCCTTGATTATGCATTGAATACGGGAAAATCTGAATCAAAGATTCTGCAATGAGAGGTGACGAACCGTAACCAATTTATCGTGACCCTTCTCGACCTCCACATGCGGTCGGTTCGCTCATAAGACTGCCGTTCTCGCGGCAGCCGGTCGTGTAACTCCGAAACCCAAAAGTGCCACATCCAATGACATTCCATCGAATATCCTAAACAATCGTAGCCGAGTAAGAAAAAACGATTTATATCTTCATGATTGATATTATGAAGTCTTGGCGTTTGTGTTATCGTCTTGGCGCTTTCAGCACACATCATAACCGTCGTTATCACGATGACCTTGTGATTATATGAACACATCAACCGGTCAAACTCAATAACGGAAACAACAGACCAACCGCTGCAAACTACTACATCAGAGTGACTGAGTACAAGCTGCAGTGGCTCCGACCGGTCGGAGGAAACGAATCTTCTTAAGTATCTTATATATAATACAGAAAGATGTCCAATGAATTTATATCAAGAAATTGCTTGAACATTAAAGTTAAAAGAAAATTGACCAAGTTTTTTAAAATGTTTAAAATTAAATATTAATATTATTTAATGAAAATTTTCAATTTAGCAACTTCTATGGTGTAAAAACAGCGTGTGGGTAATTATATACAATTATATTATCAAGCTCTTTAGGTATATCAATATTGATCTATTAGAAAATATTAAATGAAAATTTATTTGAACAGGATGTATTATTACATTTTATAAGATTGTTTACGGTTTGCTTAATTTTAATCACAGTATACATACTTAATTGAATCGTGGTTGTATTTATACAAATATAATTATTAAAATTATAAAGTTGTTTATTTACCCCGCATAAATACACGATGAACACAGGCTGCAAAAATGAACCATTGGAGTGTGTTTAATACACAGATATATAATATAATATAATAACAATATGTGGTTTAATATTGATTTGCATTTTTGTTTTCTGTTTTATAAATAAATATTAATCTCTGAATATGATATTTATGTTACAATACTGATTTAGTTCTCGTAACTTATATATCAATGTTCAATAAATTCATTCGATCAAACATTATCAGAAGGGACTATATATTTTTGTGTTGCCCAAGTATGATTCACGTCAATATTTAAGTTTACAACTATAGTTTGTCTGTCATAAATATGAATGTATTGTGCTCGTAAAATAAGTAATATGATAATACATTTTGTAAAGTGAAATTTCAAAGAACACCAAAAGTTTTTTTTTTAAATATACTCTCTGAAACATTATTTGGCTTTTGTTCTATTCGATGCCTATCATATCGATACATCATAATATTAAATAAGATTGTATAGTAACCTGTCTATGTGAATGGGGTTTTTTTTTATTTATTGATCTTAAACATCAGCAAATATATGGCCATTAGCATTTTGTAGGGGCTTATACGGTTGGTTGAGAAAAACTTGTACGTGGGGCGAGAATTCGTCACTAAAAATCTGGGCAGTCACCCACCCGGGAACTAGCAACGTCAGCCGATGCTTGACCTCAGAACACATTAGTAACTGAGATCAATCACCGAGTCACAGCAGGCCCTATTGGATGATTGTGTTGCGGCGTTATATTGATATATCTGATGTAAAAATAAGATACCTACTAACTGGTCTACAGACAATTAGTGTATTGAATATTTCAGAAAACGTTGTGTCTTGTGTTCTGTTTCATTGTATTATTATTATTATTTTCATATTAAATTGCATTATTTGATATTTTTATATGCAACACAAATGTATAATTATATAAATAGCGATCTAATATAAACATTATACACCATAACTCAGAGAATTTTTTAATAAAATAATTATTGTTAATAATAATATAACAACACCGGCGGCGATGGTGACATAATACAGAGGCAAGATAGAAAGTATATGGTATTAAATAAAGCACATCAGCACCAGCCTTAGAACAATGGTGGAATTGGGTGAGCGGGGATCGGTCTGCAATTGTTATGCAAATATCTGTGGCGGTGGGTAAATCAACCACCGTGTCGGTCGACACCCCACTATTGCCGCCGCTGCCGAAAGAGAGAGAGAGAGACAGAGAGACTGTGAGTGTGTAAAGAAGAGAGTGAGGGGGTGGGTCATGATGACTTTTATATTGCTCCGACCGCTGCAAGCTTAGGTAACCTACTTGAATTTTTATCATTATTATGCTATTACATTCACATTCACATATCCCGTATACGATTATACATTATACAATGTATGCATGAACACTGAACAGGGTAGTTGCATAAGATAGATAATACTTAAATCACGATATAATATATCATGTCAATGGAATAAAATCATTAAATTGATATTTCTTTTTTTTCCGGAACTCCCGGACTTCGTGTCTACAGCAATGACCGAAGTTTGATAAATTTGAACGTTGACGCTTAGAACATACAATAACTTATTACAATAAATACATGTCCTCCGTAAAAAAAAGGTTAGATACTGTTCAACTTTGAGGTTATCTATATTTCAACATTTATGATCGCGATTCGTGAGTGTTACTTGATTTTATGCACCTAATAATGTATCTTTATATCTTAGGTACCGACAATAGTATAACAAAAATAACGCACTCCTAGAACAAGACTGCCACAACTCAAAATTCATGAATTTTGAGTTATGACTACTTTTGGATAGAGAAAAATAAGCTCTTTTAAATGCAAGAACGCCACATTTAATATCATTTTTCATTTAGCCACTATAGAGATGTGTCTGTATTGAATTATTTAAATATTGGTTAATTTTCAATGCAAGAGAGCCATATTTACTTTATGGCAGTATACTTATTTTTATTTATCCAAATTATTACTGAAGTCAAAATTCAAGACTGCCTTATTTCGACTTGTGGCGTTCTTGCACTGAATAAAAACTAATTATCGTGTAATATGTTGAGTGCAAAACAGCAATATTTAGAGTTGTGGCAGTATTGCATTTTATAATTTGTGATAGTGCAGCCACAACACGAATTATGACTCTATTGTATTTATAAGTAGAATAGCTTTTCGTTTTGCACCAAATTCTCATATAGTCGCATCTCAAAATATGGCAGTCTTGCATTTACTTAAAAAATTGTAAATGGCCACAAGTCTAAATTTTTGGGTTTAAGAGTGAATTTCAAAATATTTGAAAAATTAATATTGTAAAGTATGGTTGTAAGTATTTAAGTGTTAAATTTCAAACGCATAAGTAAAAAATTCATTAAAATATCTTAAGTCCAAACTTCAAATTGATTTTTCTCAAAACTATAAATTTTGAGTTGTGACAGTCTTGTTCTAGGAGTGCGATAAGTTGAAACGATCAAGCAGTTATTGTGTTGACGCGTCAAATTGATAGTAAGATTTTTCAGTATCACGTTCTCTTTATTGTATTTTTCTTAAATTATTATATTATGTAGGTACAATTCATGGACAGCGGGGTCTTACCCGTTAATGCAAGTATGCAACCCATGCAGGTGATTACGTGGTGCGCGTACCCGAGAGCCTAACCTATTGTTACAATATCGGGAATGTATTATTGGTCTTGGTTAACAATGTCGGGATGGTACCACCGTATTTCTCGTGCCCGCCCAAGTAAGTGGCGTCAATAGAATACTAGTGGAGCAAACACCTAAGCAGGCACGGTGGGTGGGTCACGGTTTTCTTTTGTGCCTCTGAAAAGAGCCGTTTCTCATTTACATGCCCAACTGGTGGCAAATGGAAATATCGGACTTTTGCGGGCGTCGATATGGGTTTATATATGCCGCTGGTGGCAATAACCGGGCTGCTACGAGAACGATTGCGTTCCACGGTAAATCTACGGCCGGAAAGGTGTTTTCTGCGGTACTCTTCGTGTTGGCTACAAGACAACTCCCAACTCCAAGACTCTTAGTTTTCTGTTGATGTGTAGGTATGTTGTAAGAGTTGAAGATGGAGTCAATGATCGGATGAAATGCACCCGTATTTATACTAAATGTCTCTGTACGCGTTCTGTGTTTGGTGCATTATACCCGTGTATACCACCTGATGAGAATCACATATTATATATACTTGAATGTATTTCATATTTGTTAAATGTGATTATCGCTCGTCAATCTGCGTTTCTCTGTATCATGGTATTGCTGGGTTTTCCGGTGTACTGTACTCCGTCAAAAAGTGCGCACTTCATGAGAATTCAGCAGTGTTGCAGTGTCTCTGTTTATTCACATCATGTGATAGGATAAAATAGGGTAGTTTAAAGTTTCCATCTAAACTAGTTAACGGCGAAGTCGATATCCCCTCGATGCTTTCCTTCTATCTAAACTTTCCTTGGTTTCAGATCCAGAAACCTTTTTCCGTTTCATGTTCTTTGTACCTCTTTTTAGCAATTGTAATTATTTGCCCAACCTTGCCCCATTGTACGAATTAGAAACCGGCCAATGAGAAGGACTATGTTCCATAGTTTTTTGTGAAATTAATAAAATTATTCTATCCTTTCCATTCAATTTAAATGTATATGTAATATGTATTATATTATGTAATGCTATCAATGTATTCAAACTTTATAAATCAATTCCAGGGATCGACCAGTACTTAAATATAAATGTATGGGATTCGGCTTTGTTGTAGGTACACGGTCACACATAACGTTACTAGGTAAACGATAACATTAGCAGCTGATGCTAATCACATAGTACAAACTTCAAACACCATATTATGACTGTAAGCCAATTCAATTTCATCTATAGGAGTTACTCGGAATTTAATATTATGTATTATCAAATAATCTAATTACACTCAGAGTACATTAGACACGTTTTGAAAATAAAAAGCAATACAAGTATATAACAAAAGACAACTATCAGATATTAGTATATTACTGTACCTTTAATGCACAGAAAACTAACACACTCTACTTACTTATACATTGGACTTAAAATATTATATAATACCTATGCTACCATTGGACATAATAACAAATCAATCCGTCAATAGTTTAAGAAGAAAAATAACTTATTGGCTTGAGAATAAACAAAATATAACATTTTAAACATTTTATTCCTTTATAATCCAGCTGATTCATTATCGTATTTTACTTTATCTTATTATATTGTATTATATTTAGTACTACTCTAATATTATACCTATATTAATTATTGATATTGTATGTTTTATTTAATATTAAAGTTTAAAATTGTAAAACAGTTAAAATGTTTAGGGACTGTATTAATATGAACGTATATAATAAAGGGGTAATTTAAATACTTATATTAATAGATATTAGTAAATAAAATTATG